GCGGCGGCAGCCCTTAAATATATACCTATATCCCTTCTTGTTCAAGAGCTATGTTCCAAGGTAGCTTGCAGCGGACCACTGCGCTGATTTTCTGGTCGCTGCGCTACGATGCTGTGCAGAAGCGCTCTTCGGCAGCAACTCAGGAAGAGTTTCCGACGGCTCGGGGTCTCCGATTGGGAATCACCAACGCAACCCAGCATAGCAGGGTCCCGTGGGTTGAAAGGACCCCAACCCCCTTAAACTGTTCAAGGCCCCGTGATGTGCGGAAGGCCCTTCACTTCAGGCACCATCGTATGGCAGGTTGTGGAAGGCACAGCTAGGGCGCGTTACATACGCCCCACCTGGAATGTAGTTCGCATGCCCTGGCCAGTCCTCGACGCATGTCACAACCCTGCCGGCCTTCAGGGTGAGGACTCAAATAGCAGAACTTCTGGGAAAGCCCGGCTTGGTCGATGTAGTCGGGTGATAGGCCTCCCCTGCCGTGCACTTCTGATCCTTACAGGTGATGAGGGTGCAGAACGGGTTGCCAAATTCTTGCCCATGATAGCCCCCACCCCAGCAGGAAAGCACTCGGTCGTTCCACAAACGCTGCACCCCATCTTTGTACTGTGGGTGTCTGGTCTTCGGCAGATCCAGAATGTACACCCCCTTGACAGTGGAGCCAGAGATAGAGAGAAGGACACACTTGTGCGGCTGGTTATAATGACAGTATAATGCCTGCGTTGAAGTCATGGCGGTAAGGTGCCCCATGTGCTCATATTTTGTTCCGCCCGTCTCGAACTCCTGTTCCGGCCCGGCCGAGATGCTGTCACCCTCGATGGTCAGGATCTTGCACTGGAACTTCCCATCCCGCTCCACGGCGTCGTAGCAGGCAAGCACTTTCCCGGCAGACAGCAGGGCGGTGTGGACCATGCCATAGGTCACCTGGGTTGCTGTCAAGGGACTTAATTTAAGCTTCTATATCACTGAAACCCCATTGTTTACTATGTATATATATGTACATATATATATACCCATTATGGTAACTTGTATGAAGTTCCTTCACCGCAACCCAGTCACCTTGAAGCTGTCGATCAAAGTGTTGCCGGGTCCCCTCTCGAGAGATCCCTCCTTATCTGTCATCACCCAGCAAGTCAGGTGGTGCTTCACCTTCCTTACTTCATTCTCATTGCCGCACAGGAGGACCTTGTGCTCCTCGAGGTACAACAGGGTTGGCATGTAGGTGTACTGCATGGGGCTGAACCGATTTGGCATATCCTGCTCTTTCGTTTTGGTAAAACTGCGACCCTCTGCCGTCACCGTGTAACACCTCAGAATCGAACCTGCATGGCGGCATATAGCAACCTTGTTCTCCGAGATTTGGGCGCCGTGTTGCGTGTTGGCAGGAATGTCAATTCGATCACCAGTCAGGATGCCACCCACAACCTCCTCCACTGCCTGGCATTGCCACCCAAAGTTTCCATCAATGCCATTTTTAAAGCAGATGAGGAATTTGTTGTCGGTCAAGCGTGCCAGGTAGTTGTGTTGGTTGCCCGACTTTTCGAAGTCCACAAACGTCATCTTGGGCTTGACGTCGGCACTGAGGACTGGAAGGGAATCCCACTCTGCAGCCGGATCCTCCTCGTGTTGGCACATGTGCGAGTGCCGGCAGGTGAATCCGCCAGAAGACTTCGACTCTGCGACACACTGCCAGTGAAATCCACCAGCATCAATATCCTGGGTTGCTGTTAAGGAACTTAATTTAAGTTACTCTATTTGGGAAACCATATTAATTGCTATGTATACCCATTACGGTAACTTTATTCAAGTTCCTGAACAGCAACCCAGTATCGTAGCTCTGCTTGCATGTCGCCTCTGCCGCTGAGGAGTCGCCACTCAACGACATGCAGTGCCCATCCTGTTCAACAAAAGTACTGTAGTAGCTTGCATTCTATGTTCCATTATCCCTATATAATCCCAATATACTATAGTAGTTTCCATTTTCTTTTCCATTATCCCAATATAATCCCAACATACTCCTAATAATCCCTATATAAACCCTAGAGAATCCCTATATAATACCAATAAAAACCCCATAGAATCCCTATATAATCCCTAGAGCTTCCATCTTCCCATCCTGTTCACCAAACGTCTTGGAGATGAGCTTGCCCTCGCATGCAGGGAAATCTCTGGAAGAGTTCACCGCCAGCTTAAAACAAGTAACGGACGCAAGATGGCACACTAGGCCAAATGTCCTGATTGACAGCTTCATTGCGAATACTTCCCGAAAGGATGGGGTGTATTGTTCAGCACAGATGGCTGCGGCGATGATTTAGGCCAACATGAGCCTTTGTCTAAACTTCTAGTATCCCCCTTAATATCCCCTATAGTAGTCCCCTATATAATCCCCTATATAACCCCCTTTAAGGAGTTTAGACTATGGCTCAAATAACGTAGGGACCTGAATAACTACAAATATCATCTCGAGGTCCATTTGAGGTACCCCATGCTACAACTCTACAAGGAATACGAGACCGGCAATATTGGTAATGATTTAGGCCAACATAACTTGGATGTCCTCATGCTCAAGAGGGAGGTCGCCTGGCATGGTCCACATTCAGATGAGGCACTGCTGATAAGAAGAACCCTGCATGAACTTAGTACACTCAGGTACCATTATTCCCAAGGTATAAGGTACATAGGGGCATGCAGGACTTTCAATATCAAGCACTGCTGTACTTGCGCCCCCTAGCTGCAGCAAGCTGCATAAGATGCCACAAGCGATTGGCGACCCCCAGTCCCCACCCACGTGCGTCCCGAGATCCACAGAAATTTACATCATAGCATGTGTCCTGCCCCACCCATTAACGGGGTCATAGGGGCTATATACAACTATATTAATCACATTCCCAAACTATAGTTATATTAAGACATATTATCCAACTGTTAATGAGTGGGGGCAGTACCCATGTCATACCATCCGCTGTCGCATTGCTTTCTCCCAACTTAAAGTCAGCACTTGAGCTATAGTCTCAACCCCTTACGGGGGGTTATATAGGGTTTAGGGTTTAAAGTCTAAACTCCTTAAAGGGGGTTATATAGGGGATTACGAAGGGGACTACTATAGTGCTTATGAAGGAGGATACAAGGAGTTCAGACTACAGCTCACTTGAAAGGAGCGCTTGCTTGGGGGCCTCCCTGCTCTCGTAGCGCTTTGGGGGGTATATCCCCCCTTAAGTAGATTGAATATGGTTTGGGTATACTATACTAAGATCCCCATATACACCACATTCTTTCCACTTAAGGGGGACTATAGGCACTTGTGACGCCAGCGCAGGTCAGCATGCGCACCATCCCTACGAATAAGCTAAAGCAAAGAAGCAATGACGCATTACACAAATAGCAATCCCCTAAACCCTAAACCCTAAACCCTAGACCCTAAACCCTAAACCCTGACCCCCAGACATCTCCTAAGGCCCCAGCCAGAGGCTTGCGGTGGCAGGGCAACTCGTTGTCTGGCAGTGGCAGTTAGAGATTAGGGTTCTAGCTTTCAAATTAGCGCCCCTTTTTGGGAGTCCCCAAATTCAGGCTTACAACATATAATTTACCTTGCCCCCCCCCAACCCGCATGTATGGAAACCCCTGTTTGCAGAAGTTGCGATGGAAAAACAATCCTAAACCCTAAAACCCTAAATCCTAAAACCCTGAACCCCTTAACCCTAAACCCTACCCAGTTTAGGGTTGGAAAACTTATTGGGACGGGGTCCTGTAGTACTCGGCTGCGGGGACATGAGGATTTGCAATGAGCTTGATCCACATGACCTACAGTCTAAACTCGTAGTATCCCCCTTAATAATCCCTATAATCGTCCCCTAGATAATCCCCTATATGACCCCCTTTAAGGAGTTTAGACTACGATCCACATGGCTTTGATGCGCCACGAGGGTCTGAACAATCAGTCGCGCATTGGGAATGGTACTACAAGGGCCCTACAAAATACCTTACAGTACATTATAGTATAGTTAATGGATTATGGTAAAGTATGGTATACTATGGTCCTAAATCCTAAACCCTAAATGCAATGTCTTTTCCACTGGAAGCTCTCATGTCACACCCTGCTGCCGCGTTCTCACAAACGAAGAAAGGTTTCAGAACCTGCCTAAACCTTAGATATATACCCTATTATACTATTTTGTAGTTTCCATTTTCTTGTCCATTATCCCTACAATACCCCAATATATACCTACTATACTATATAGTGAACCCTCAACCCACTCCTTGCTTTTAGGCTTCCGAGCTTGGGGTTCAAGCAGCGGGGGCCATAGGTTCACAAACAAGCTGCCAATGCAGCCAGATGCTTTGGGGGGTATATATTTGGGCCGTATTGAGATAATGGAAAAAGAAAATGGAAACTGCTATATCATAATAGGGAATATATTGGGGTTATATACGGGAGTAATGATGTTGTAATGGGGTGAAACTGACTACTGCTACGTGGGTATCCTTCCGTAAACCAAGCCGTTCACAGACGAAGCGGACTAAGCTGCCCGATACCCGACAACTTTTGAGGAAACCTTCCAGGTGATTCTACATGCATTTCTGGGGCTTTGCAACTAAAACCTCGACCGAACCCCAAGGCCAATTACGGGATTCTATACTACCCCGCCCACAGACCCAGCCCCAAAATCAGGTCCACATAAGGTCTGATTTATTAGATTGAGGGAACATATAGGCCTGACTTATGGGTGAGTACTGCCCAAAACCCTATATAGACCCTAAATCCTCTATACTATAGACCCCAAAACCTTAACCCCAAACCCAAACCCGGGGTTCGAGTTGTCTTAGATCTGATGGAACGACCCTAAACCCTAAACCCTACACCCTAAACCCTACACCCTCCACCGTAAACCCCAAACCCTATACACCCTAAACCCTAAACCGTACACCCTAAACCATAAACCGCGTAACCGTGGCTCCCTTGCCATTGCGGGCGGGCCTTGGGGACAAATTCTCTCTCGGTGCGCAGAGGACTTGCACACCTTAGGAGGCTTTGTACCAAGATCCTCCTTCTACCCTTCGATAGGGAAACATGGTCCATAACAGTGAGTATTTAAGGTATACTAGAGGGTAGAAGGAGGGTCTAGATACGGTACATCAGTTTGGGGACTTGGTCTTTGGTACTGATGGTCTCACATGCTTGGCTGGGCTTGCGCTTGGACTTTTGGACGAAGGTTCTTTGTTGGGTCGCTGGCTCAAGCCTCTGATACCATAAAAATTAACTGCAGTGACGTCCTTGGGGTCTCAGGAAAAACTTCATACTTCCAGGGAGAGAACGCAAATTCACTCCACTATGAATGGCCTTGGTTGCCACCATGGGCTATTAGACCCTAAAATTCCCCATTAGGACCCTATTAAGGGTAGATTAAGGTACCCTTAAGGTCTAATAGCCCATAGTGGTGTTGCTACTCGGACGACCGACCCTAAACCCTCTGGGCTCCCGACACTCCGAAATCTCCCCCGAAGCAAAGGTCCGTGAAAGCGGGTCTTCACTCCTGGGCCACTGAACAGGGTTTAGGGTTCAGAGTTTAGGATTCAGGGTTTCGCACCCCCGACTAATGAAGCATATCTCGAGAATGGCTTGAATATGGCTTTGGAAAAATCTAATACGATGCCCATATACCCATATTCTATCTACCTAAGGGGGACTATACAATACCACTTGGGCATGTCCCATGGCCGGGAAGCTCATCCCCGAAGGGGACGTCTCCTCCTGATGATGGACTACCTGATAAGTTTAGGGTTTAGGGTCAGGGTCTGTCTCTGGACCTGTTCCATCCCCTTCATCATAGGCCCCTCTTCCGGAAGCCCATCCTGCTGCTTGCCACAGCGGCAGATTGAGGCGGTCGCTCGCCATCCCACAGTCCTTTTTTTTACGGGGATATGTAACCCGACGGATGGAGAGTGAAAGAAAATGGAAGATGAAATGGAAACTGGGGATACACATCTTTACTATACATCTTCAAAATCCGCACAAAGACTGAGGCAACGGGCCCCCTGAAAATCCTAAATCCTAAGCGGTCGTAAACCCCATACTATGCCCCCCTGAAAAACCCCCACACACACTTGGGAGGACCCCTGAAATACTTCATTAATGCTGAGCGACATGCCCCTACGCCCCACAAACCCCACAAACACAAGCCGTAGGCCCCTAAGACTCTCAAACCCGGGAACCAAACCGTAAACATTGAACCCTGATAGTAGCCCCAACCCCGCCCCCAACCATAAACCCTGATGGAAGCCAAAACCTACACCACAACACGAAACCAGAAAAGCCTAAAGGAACATAATCCCTATATAAAGTGTTCCCTTTTCCCCACTGAGAACCAGTAAAAGAACCTCCACTGGTGGCCTGTGGCTTCGCGAAGAGTAGCAGGGAGCAGCCTCACCTTGTCGAGATTGGGATTTAGGGTTTAGGGTGTAGGGTGTAGGGTTTAGGGGTGGCAAGTTGTTTAGAGAGGTATATGGGGGTTTCCCAAAGCTAGGGGGTACTATATTGACAATAATTTTTTGGGGTCTATATTGGGGTCGGCCCCATTTTGGGAAACTACCACACAAGGCCTGCTAAATATAATAATCGGAATACTAGCAGCAATAATATGATAATATCGATAAGAAGATATGAATCGTGGCGAGAACGGCGCTAGTTTAGAGTTGAAGTATAGCAGCAACAGCACCTCTACCTGAAGCGCATGGTAACAATGCAAAATTGGCTTAGGGTTTAGAGTGGCCCTGCCTGACCGCGGCACTTTGGACGCTGACGACGCGGATGACGCTGCACCTTTGGAGAAAGCTTCGTCTTGCTTGATGAAGGGATGTATAGGGATATACATGCTATTTAGGGATGGG